GCACCCCCCTCTTGAATAAGATCGTAGATGAGGGGGGCCTTATTTACCACGGACCTGGCGTTGCATAGCATCAGCCGGTGATCCCGGGCCCGAGGATCCAAGATCCCTGGAGGCCGGGTGGAGCCCTGAGGACCGGAGCATCCACAAGCTTGTAAACAGCGTGTGCGTGCTCCCAAAACCCGATATGGTCCTCTGCTCCTGCCATATCTGCCTCTCCCACTGACCGTACTGATCTTACCACCCTCCCTTGACCTCCCATCCTCGCTCCCCGCTCTAATACCGCGTCCCTCCGACAGGTCTGGCGTTGGGCTCCGAGAGCTTGGGAGCCCCCTCTAGCCGGAATCCCTTTTGAAAAAAGATCTCTAGCTGAGAAGATTAATGGCTTGGACAAAGATCGGTCTGGGCTTTTCTTGGCTGGCTGCTCTAATTCAGAAAATGGGGCCTAACCTTTCTTTTGAGTTACAGGTAGTCCTCGAGTTACCACCGCAAGGGGGGCCAAAAATTTATCTTGCTACCTGAAATATTTCTTAAGTGAGCTTGCCCCATTTTACCCCATTTCTTGCCACAGCTGTTAAGTGAATCTGGATTCCCCACTGATTTTGCTTGACAAAAGCGGATCACGTGACCCTGGGACACTGCAACCGTCATAAATTTGAACCAGTTGCCAAGCATCCAAACTTTAAACATGTAACAACAGTCATAAGTGTGAAAAACGGTCATAGGTCATTTTTTTTAATCCGTTGTAACTCTGAACAGTCACTAAATGAACGTTTGTAAGTCGAGGACCACCTGTATTGCATATACAGAAATTGCCCATTTCAGGGCCAATTCCTGCAACCGCCTGAATGTGTTAGAATCAACCCAACTGAACTTAAAACTCAGCCTCCGGTCTGGGGTTCAATTTCCCTCAAATGTCAATCTCCCGTCCAGCAGGGCCAGTGCAACATTGGCACTCTGCTCCCCTGAAGGATCCTCTCCACTCTCCCTTCTCTTGAGGGGCTGCCACGAAGAAGAGGGGGGTCACATTATTCACCAAAGCACCAGAGGGCAGGAAACAACAGTTGGAAAGTGATCAAGGAGAGAAGCAACCTGGAATTGAGGAGAAACTTCCCAACAGGGAGGACAATTAACCAGCTTGCCTCCAGAAGTCGTGGGTGCTCCATCACTGGAGATTTTTAAGAAGAGGCTGGACAGTCACTTGTCTGAAATGGTATAGGTTTTCCTGCTTGAGCAGAGGGCTGGACTAGAAGACCTCCAAGGCCCCTTCCAGCTCTATTCTATTCTTACTAAGACCCTGACTGAACTGCCACAAGATGCCAATTAGCCAGGAGTTAGCCTCCTTATGATGTGTTTACAGCAAACCAGGATCTTACCTTCTCATTGGGACAAGTCTTCTTAAATACTCTGCCAAGAAAGAGAGAGAGGAACAAATGGGAGAAGAAATTTCAGAGGCTGGGCAATATATTATATATGGTGTAATACTCAAGGTGGCACAAAATAGTTAAAAATTTAAAATGCATTTGTTAAAAGTGTGCCCATGAGGCATTCCTGAACAGCTACAGAGAACATAAACAGTAGGAATAGTATAGAGACTACAAGCAGGAGGCTATGATTTACATCAAAGGTCTAATAGCAGATTCCTCTATCCAAAAGGCAGTAACTTTGCTTCTCCTGGATTTTTCCAGAGTCTCAAAGATCACAGATTTAAATCTGAGCTTTAGGAGCAATATCACTTTAGCTCCTTTCCCCAGTTCCAGAATCTTGAATTTTAAAAGATATCCCTCCCATTAAAAAAAAAAATCTCTAGAAGAAAAAAGGCTGAGAGATCTCCCACTGCTCCTTGCTGAGATCCTGGGCTCCATCAGGGGAGGTGCTGCTCAGGGGGAATCCTTTGATTCTGGAGGTGGATCTGTCAATTGGGGGGGGGAGGAGGGTTGAAGCAGTCACAGCTCTGGGGTTGCTTATTATCATGGCAATAACCCAGATCTTGAAACCCAGGTGCTTTCATCTCCAACCTTAATTTTCTGCTCCCCAATGTTCATAAATTTATTTAGTTTTTTACAAAAAAGGGATTGTAAGTAAAATATTTATTATTTACTAGCTGTACCCAGCCACGCGTTGCTGTGGCTCAGTCTGGTTAAATGGAAAAGAAGTGTGTTGCTTTTACGTCCAACAGATGGCGCTGTTTTTTTTAAAAAAGCATGTTTTTACCTGTCACAGGTGTGACATCTATATGATAGTAGGTATATAAAAACACGCGCGTATTCGAATGCAACGTTGTGTCAAAATTTCAAAGCAATCGGTGAAGAACTTTCGGGGATTTAAGATTTTGAATAAACGAACATTTACATTTTTATTTATATAGATAGATAAAACATATAAGCCACTTTTCCTGTGACATAGCAATCCATTCTAAGTGTTCAAATGGAACAGAATATCTGAACTGTGGAGTCCTTGGTGGTCTCTGAGCTTCGTTGGTAGATTTTTCATGTCCTGGCTAGGTAATGGCTGATTTGTCTGGATGGCAGACATAAAGCATAAGGACTGCAACAGCCACTATGTAGGGCAGATGGGCAGATGGGGAGAAGACTTGCAGAGCGCATCCATGGACACCAACCAGCAGTCAAAGGACACAATAAAAACTCCTCAGTTTCAACCACAGTGCATAGACAACCACAGTTTCAACTGGGAAACTGTGAGCATCTCAAACCAGGCCGAATGGCAAAGAATACTGAGGAATTTTTGCCATTCAGATGAATCAGCCATGAATAGACACACAAAGATAAACCATACCATTCACAATTAAAAAACACAAAACAAAAATACTAGAACACATCCTCTCCAGCAGCTGACACCCAAATAAGCAGGAATTAATACCAGACCATCACACAGAAAACAATACCCTAACCAAGCAACTACCCAGGAGAAAACCACACCCCCTTAACACCTGCTTGGCAAGCGACTGAGCAAGAAGCAAACCCCGCACTCAACCAAGTTCAGAAACTATCGAGGACTCCACCATTCTAATTGTTGCTAAAGTTGTTAAGAGTTGAACAATATCACTGAAAATTGTGCTGTAATTGAAACCTTACCAAATTATGCAATGAAGCTGAGCAGATGGAGAAAAAGGGGGGGGGGGCATTATCTTCCTGCACTATGGAATGTGAGCAGGGAAACCCAAAGGGTACCAGCTTAGCAACCAATCAAGGAGGGGGGGTCTGCAGGCTCCAGCTGCCTCAGGCACAAGGAAAAAGGGCCTAGTCTAGGAGAGTCAGGCTGAAGAGAAGCCACACTGCCCCTCCAGGAAGGCTTCTAGGGGGCCTTTTCACTGGGCTGGGGTGAGGCAGTGAAACGAGGCGCTCCCTCCTCACAGACCGCAGGGAAGCCAAGCCAGACCTACTTTGGTCCGGCAGCCATCTTTGGGGACTGGAAGCAGAATTCCTGCAAGAGACGAGAAAAGCAGGCGGTAGTCCAGCAGTGCAGTGGTGGGTGCCCATCCCAGCCAGACAGCCCTCCCCACAAAGGCCCCACACATCCGAAGCAGGTTTCTTGGGGCAGATTCTTCTACAGGGGCTCCCTGGGGCTCCTGCTCTGGTTAGAAAATGCTGGGGATGCTTTTGAGCCACACACTGACAGAGCCACAAGTTTCCTCCTCATTTCTAGAAGAATCTTTGGGTAACGGGGCATCTGTAGGGCAGATTTTTCACGGAGGTGGCAGGGGCAACAGCCCGGGGTCTGCAGCTCTAGAAGAGGCTAGCCAACTCCTTTGGCTTGCACAGTGATATCCACACAGTTAACAATACAACATTGGTATAACAAGCATTGTCAAACTGTATCTCCCCCCCCCCAATTAAGTGTGTCTTGGTGGTTATGGATTCAAAACTGTTCCAGTTATGAGACTGAATTCGGAATTTAGGATCAGAGATCCAACTATTTAGGATGGGGATGTTGAGAAGAACTGCGCCATTAGGAGTTCCCTATCATGGTTTACACAGGCACCGATTTGCCTCTCTAGAAGACCTGAAGTCCTGGAAGTGGGCAAACCATGTTGTGCCGCAGCTGCCATTCCTTCAGGAGGGACTGTTAAACCAAAATGGCTGGCTTCCAAGAAAATGTTCTCAGCTCACTCTTCACTATAACCTTCTATCTAAAATATTTTTAGCTACCTAATCTTATTTCTTAGTGCTAAGCTACACACATCATTCAGTTTCAATTAGCTGGTTTTCAGCAAGTTTAGCAGGGATTTGCTCAGTGACTTAAGTTTACAATCTCCAGCTCAACCAAGTCAGATTAGCTGGGAGGGATCTTTCTGTACAAAGTGAGTAGAACAAGCATGGGAACCCACTGGTTTGAATGCTGTTTACTAATTGAGAAACAGGTAGAAATCGGAAATTATGGTTTTCTGCATGAATGGAGGAAATAAGGAGTATAACTTACACACTACAAACTTTATTTAAAAAAAACATTTAGTGGGAGCATTTCCATAGAATACTAAATGATCCAAAGTGCTTTTTTTTGGGGGGGGGGGGGTTGCTCCCTGGCTCTTTCTGCCAGCAGATTTAATGAACAAACCCAGATGGCTCCGCTCCTTAAGGGCCAACCAGGGAATTGGGCTGATCACCTCTGACCACATCAGAAGGAAAGCAAGGAAGAAGGAAGGACTTTGTGATTCAGTTAAGCACGGGCAATAGACGTGTTTGCTTCAAAGAACAGACTGCCGCTTCCAGCTGCAAAACTCCAGAAGTCTAAAGGGCAACAATAGAAAAAACCCTCTTCTCCTCATCTAATGGCTGTCCTGAATTTTGCAGCCCATGTCTAATACCCCTGTTGAGGCGACTCAAGTGGAAGTTGTAGAGCAGTGATGGCGAACCTTTTAGAGACCGAGTGCCCAAAAACTGACCCCGCCCCCCACTCCACCCCCCTGCCCTGCCCCCGCTCTGCCCCCCATCCCCCGCCCCACCTGCCCACAGGACCACTCACCGCCTCCAGGGCCCGCCGCAGATCACCCAGGCGGCCCAGCAGCGCTATGGTGGCCACGCCCTCTCCCCGTGCCCTGCAGCATCAACTGTGCGCGATGGGGTGTGAGGGCAGAGTCTTGTCTACACTGCCTGGCTGCCATGTCCTTGGCTGCGCTGCTCAGTGTGGGCCACGCTCGGGGGTGACTCTCCTTCAGGGGGGCTGCTGGAGAGGAGGGGGTCACGGGGGGAGGCAAGGCTGGGGCAACGGCACGTGTGCCCACAGAAAGGGCTTCGAGTGCCGCCTCTGGCATCCGTGCCATAGGTTCGCCACCACTGTTGTAATGAAATTGGCCAGCAAGCCCACATTTCAAAATGGGCTTACCAAGGGAGAAAAGGAGCCACAGCAGAGATTACCCCTTCCCAGGGGGCAGAGCAGGCAGGCTCGGCTGCCAGGGCCCTGGGACAGCCCAAACAGGAGGCTTCCCCAGCCAGACGGGCCACTGTGGCTGCGGCTCTCCAGGAAGGATGAAGGAAAAGAGAGGAGGGGGCGTGCAGCAGCACTAGGGAAACGATGCCCCTTCATTTCGTATCCTTATCCTCGTCCAAGGCGGGAAGGACAAAACCTGGGAAAAGTCTCAGGAGAGGATATCTAACCTCATTGGATTGCAATGAAGTCTTTTCCATTAACTAAAAGGCTGGCTGGAAGCTCTCAAGAGCTTCTTCCTCAGGTCCAATCTCTACATCCGTCAAGTCTCTAGTCCTGCAGAGCAAGTGAGAATCAGACTGAACTCTATATTTTTTTTTATTAATTCTAAAGTGTGGAGGTGTTTTTTTTTTGTTTTGTTTTTGTATGAAAGCAAAACACTCTTTGGGGGGAGAAGGGGGGAATCTTAAAACCTGTGCTGGAATTTCCACTAGGAGGCATTAAAGTTAAAAAAAATTGAGCCTTGTAAGGATTTACATTTTGATACCCACAATCTATTGGAATAATTTTGGTCCAGATTTTCAATTCTTTGTTTATTTCTTCCATGTAGGCATATAGTTATTAATAAAAATTGTCTTAAATGTTTTTAGTCATAGTGATCCTTAATATTTGAAAAATTTCTATACTACAGAAATTCCTAAGTCTACGGAAACTTCCTTCGTGGGGGGGGGGGAGGAAAAACATTTAAATTTCTCGCAGATATTTGGCTGACGAATTTATTCTAAGGCTCCGGGGCAGGGAGCTCGCAAAACCGACCCTTCTCCGAATAAACTCGCGCTCCCAACTCCTGAGTTTCCGTCCCCCGACCGAGCCCGCGCTGGATCTTTGCCCGACGGCAAGGGCGGTCTTGCAAGCCGCGGTGGACGAGGGTTTCTGGGGGAAGCGTTGCAGGGGTGGTTGCCTACCCGCACCCGCACCAGCACCCAGCTCAGCCCCGCCAAGAGGCCCGTCCGTCGGTAGAGCGAGCCCGAGCGGAGAGGCGCCTCGCCCGCCCCGAAGGAACCGAGCAGGCTCCGCGTTCGAGAGCCGAGAGCCGAGCTCCTCGGGAGGGTGGCGGGAGGCCTTGCGAGGCGAGAAGCCGCCGGTGCCGCCTTACCTGCCACGCGCCGCTCCGCCGCTCCTCGGGCAGCTCCGGCGGGCCCTCCTCTTATAGCCGGTGGGGCCGCCCCTTCGAGGCCAGAATCCTCTTAGCCGCGGCGGCGTCAGAAGGATCGGCCCGAGGGGCGGCGGCGAGGGGGCCCCTGACCTCTGCCGCCGGTAGGCGCTGGAAGGGCGCGGGGCGGCAAAGCACGGAGCCCCGGGGGCGGGAAGGGGGCTCTCGGGGGCGAGTGCCAAGACCGTCCCCGGCTGCCCTGCAACGCCCCCGAGACCCCCTCTAAGCCCCTCGCTTAAAAGCGGCCGCACCAGGGGGCGAAGCTCCCGAGCAGCCAGAAGAGGGTTTGGGTCCCGGCGCGCGGTGGGCACGGCGGGTCTCCGGCTAACTAAACTGCATATTTTATTATTTATTTTCATCCGTTAGTGTAAAAAAGCTCAAATGGAAAGTTTGATTACCTTTATTTCTTCCTCTCCTTTTCTGTATGGAACACAAATAAAAAAAAATCAAATAGGATATTAAAACGTGAGAATACTTGGTTATCGTTCCAAAGAACCCTGGAGCGAGGCACCTTCACTCCGGTCCTTCGGGAGGGGCTTTAGCCACCTCTAAAACCTCTGACTTTGCCCAGTGCAGGAGGAACCAATTTCCACCGGGGTTCAACAGGTGACCCCCAGCCTCTCCTGAAGGCAACTCAGCAAAGGAAGCCCACCTGCTCCATTAGGGAAGGGCTCTTGGCACTAGGAAAATCTTCCTCCTGGTCTCAAGAACAATTCTGAGCCACTGGTGGGTTCCCAGCCTGCAGCCGTGGCCATCATTTTATTCACTAGCCCAGGGGTCCTCAACCTTGGCAACTTTAAGACTTGTGGACTTCAACTCCCAGGTTCCATGGACTAGCAGCAGCTATGTCAGTTTTGACAGCAGAGGGAGAATGGTTTCACAGGCGCAACCTAAATCCCACACCTGCACAAACGAAGCTTCATATGCTCGCCCTCCGCTTCGGAGGCCCAGCTCCCCATGGGCTACAGCCTAGTAGCAGTCCCACGGCCTAAGGGTTGGGGACCCCCGTTCTAAACCATATGAAAGGCCACGTGGGCTGGGGCTAATCTAATCTTCTTGGATGGTGTTCCAGAGTGTCAGTTATTAGGTAGACCAGACAGGAACAACTAGATCAGTGGTTCTCAACCTTTTTAATGCCGTGACCCCAACCGGTCGTAAGTCGAGGACTAAACCGGTCGTAAGTCGAGGACTAAACCGGTCGTAAGCCGAGGACTACCCAACCAGTCGTAAGTCAAGGACTTTCCCTGCCCGGGAGCGCCGCGCATGTGTGGTTCCGCCCCCTGCGCCGGCCGAGGTGTAGCTGGCAAGCGGCAGAGACGGAGCAGGCCGACCACCAGCTGGCCCAGCCCAAGGCACCCGCCGGAAAAGGGGGAAAAAATGGCGGACAAAAAAAATGGCAGACAAAAAAAATGGCGGACAGCCTTGCTTGGCGACCCCCATGAAATGGTCGATCGACCCCAAATGGGGTCCCGATCCACAGGTTGAGAACCACTGAACTAGATGAATTAATTCTGCTTTATTGTAAAGTTAACAGAATCTTTGGGATTCAGGGATTGCTAGGGGAATATTCTTATAAAACCTACCACAGGTCCTGTGAGCTGCAAGGCCACTTTCCTTGCGTCTTGATTTGTTTATTAAAACATAGAACACAGAATAATAGAGTTGGAAGGGACCTTTGAGGTCTTCTAGTCCAACCCCCTGCTCAAGCAGGAGACCCTATACCATTTTGGACAAGTGGCTGTCCAGTCTCTTCTTAGAAACCTCCAGTATAGGAGCACCCACAACTTCTAGAGGCAAAGAGTTTCCACTGATGAATTGTTCT